ACACCATGTCGCCACAGCTTCACACCCAAGTGACTGCTTCCCATCGGCTCCTCTGTCTGGCTTTGCCAGAGAGAATAACCGACAGCTCCTCTACTTCTGCAAATGCATCAGCTGTCTGTGGGCTCTATCTGAACAGGGGCTCTGACTCCAACAACCTCTCACAACACCCGCTACTACCACCCCATCCCAGCAACATCATCTACAACTATATCATGGCAACGAGCTCCCAGCCGGGCTCCCTGCTTCAGTCTCTGGTGCCCATACCGCAACACGACAGTCAAAATAATCTGTTAAAGAACACTGCTCAGATCACACCACGGCTCTGCTCAGAATCTTCCAATGGTTTCCCTATTAGGAAGCAGCCAAAGTCCTTCCAGGAGACCACAAGGTCCCTTATTGGCTGGTCCCTGGCTCATTCTCTAACCTCCTCTCCTAGGACCCCCCGTTCACTTGGTCCCAGCACCATGGGCCTCCAAGGCGCCTTATCCAACACCGTGGTTCTCCAGCGCGAGTGTACCTCGGAATCGTCTGGAGAGCTTGCTAAAGAACAGATGGGGGCTGGGGTTGTGGCTCAGCGGTAGAGCGATGGCCTAGCAAGTGCGAGGCCCTGGGTTCGATCCTCAGCACCACATAAAAATAAATAAAAAGAAAGGTATTGTGTCCGACTACAACTAAATAATAAATATTTAAAAAAAAAAAAAAAAGAAAGAACAGATGGCCGGGCCACCCCCACCCCCCCATTTCAACTCAGTGCTTTGGAAGAGGGCAAGAAGTGGCACTTCTAACACATCTGACGCTGATGGTCAGAAGACTGCTCTAGAACCTTCCGTCCAACAGCAACCACAGGCCCAGCTCTGAGCTGAGCATTGCCTGGGACCTTCCTAGCTCAGCCTTGGAGGTTCACCTTCTTATTTCTCTCTGTTTATGTCTGATATATCTCTTCAGTGACACAATTCTGAAACTACAGAAGATAACTCCAGCCTTATCTCCTCAAAGAAAGGCTCAGTTAAGTCTGCCCTGCAGTGGGGACCTTAGCAATAAGCTCCCTGTGCTGAGCGACCAGCTTTGGAATTCCCCTCTCTTAATGTGAATAGAAAAATGCACATAAACAGACATACCTAGCACGAAATAGAACACGGCAGATGAAGTTTAAAAGAAGATTAAGATTAAATTCACTTCCAGGAGATTTAATGGTAATGTGATCAAATGAACCAGCAAAACTTCATTTGCAGTCAATTCTTTCTGAACCAGATTCCCTACAGCATGGCCTATTTTAAAATGGATCGGCGTTTTAATCTATTACTTGAATCTAAACAAAGCTGGACAGTGCTCAAGAGCAACACTTTCAGAGGTCTTTTCTTTAAGGTAAGCGAACCAGAACTTCACTCTTCCTGGCAAAGTTACAAGTGGCTCAGAAGCCTGCCTCACTCTATCTGTCAGAGCAAAGTTCATTTTCCAACAAGTGAAACTGGAGCCACCTTTCAACTTCCATTCCCGTAACTTTCCTCTTCCTTGACTGTTGCCACTTCTGTTTTCAAGACCTTTATTCTCTCCTGCCATAAGGGCTCTTGGATTGAGTTCCACCTAAGTGACCCACAAGTTCTCACAAGAAAATGAAGCAGGAAAAGCAGCAGGTAGGAGACCTGTGCGCAATTTCACTAACTCTCAGAACCTCAGTAAAGCTACGTGGGTTTTTTCTCTCTCTTCTTAAAGATAAAAGCTTCAGATATTCTCAACACGCAGTCCAGCTGGATGTCAAAGGATCAAGTGTTAAAATCAATATTCACTGTCACTAAATGTCATCATATAATGAACTAATGGGATACAAGAATAAATATGAAACTCAAATTTTGACATTTTATCATAATTTCATTATTAGAATTTTTTAAAAAATTATTTCTTAGCACTGAGAGCTGCTAGATGACCCTGTGGTTACCATTCTCATATCTGCAATGCTAGGTACTTTCCAACCAAGTCACTGAAGAACCAAGATTATTTTAGGCTAGCTTCATCAGTCTAGATGGTGCTATGAACAGTGTCACCAAATTATTAGACTTTCTTTCCTATCAGAGAATAACTGCTGAGATCAAAGACTGATCTTCAAGTCCCAGTATAACTACGGCCCCAAAAGACTATAGTTGATAGTGATGATACAATCGTTGAAGTAATTCCCAAACTGAAGCTTTGTGAACCATTTGAAGAGGATGCTTTTAAATATCCTCAGGTGACTTTAACTGTCCTAATTTATGTTTTTATTTTAATTATTAAAATGCATTTATGGCTTTATGTTATCATTTGAGAAAAAAAAATGTCCTTTTGTTTAAGGACATTGGATTTAAAAGTGTATGGAGGTAGAGGAACATAACTGGCTTTAAAGATACCAAAAAAAGTAAGGAATCTCTAACTACATGTCTGTTTTTATTGCCAATTTCAGTATCTTCCCAAAAGTAGAATGATAGAATTTTTGTAACAGATGTCATGTAAAAATATTTGCACACTTCAAGGTATATCCACTTGGTTACTTCACAAAGTTACAGTCAAAGAACTGCTTTTTTCTGCAAACAGCCACTGGTTATTAGTTAGTAAGTCCTATTATGTTGGTATTGTTACCTGAAGAATATAATATTAAGTCTCTTTTGTTCAAGGAACTGTTTTAAATGTATATCTTCTTTTCTATCTTGTTTCAATAACTTGCAGAAGTATCTAACAAGGCAGGTTCAAATTCTCTTTTATGTCATGTAATTTTTTCAAAATTTAAATAAAGCTTTCATTCCTAGACTCTGGATCAATAATACTCTAAATTTGGGAAAGAGGGGCCCTAGCTCTGAGATTTCAGGTTTAGAGGGCTCCACCTTGGCCCTCCTTTACCTATGTCCCTCCACTAAGGAGCGGCATTCACAGGCCCCTGGCTCTGCCTACCTGAGACCTAAGCCTGTGCCTCTCCCATCTCCAGGCCATCCTCTGGGTGCCCAGGACCCTGTCCAAGTGGCCTGGAGCCCCTTGTCGACTTCTCCCTCCAGCTGGTGCTGCTGAACGCAGATCATGCCACCAGTAAGTGCAGGCCCAATCCAAGGAGTGCGGGGTGGTTGCTGCTGAAGGCACAGCTGAGGGTAGAAGTGAGGCCTGAGATGGGCACAAGGCCTTTCAAAGTGCCATGCAGACAGTCAGGGGGAAGGGGCTGGCCTCAGACCAGGGCCCGGCTGTCTCCACACCACCAGCTCCAAAGCAGAAGCCAAGATGAACAAGAATTCTAAATGTGCTCTTGGACTTATAGGTCTTCTTACAGATACACTCGGGGTTGAGTTTGGTTTTGCCTTACAGGGCTGGGGGCCTACACAAACCCAGGCCTTGTACAGGCAGGTGCTAAAGATACATTTGTTAAGGGAGAGAGAAAGATTTTTTAGTAAGGTTCAAAGATTGTTGTGTAACTTTAAACTATGTAGATCTGTCTTGAATCTCCATGTGAATTCTGCCCACAGACCATACTGGAACACCTATAGCATATGACATTATCACACTGATAAACAGCACTAACTGGGATGGTCTCTTCTTCTTAGATTTTGACATTGCTGACTCACTTTTATGATTCAGGTTCCAGCTCACCCATCACCTCCTGGATGGAGCCTCCACGTGTAACCTGGAGCAGCCCTCAGAATCACCCTTCCACAGCACCCGTTCTCTTCATTACCTTTACTGATATCCGAAGTAATTTATGTACACTCCATCTGCCTTGTTAACTTATGACTAGATGGACTTTACCTTAGTCCAGGGGTTATTGTTGCATATTTCATGGTGCAGACTGTCCCAGATCTGGCCAGGACACTGCCTTGTATCTTTTTTGTCATTTCCCTGTTTTGGGGTTGTTGTTGTTTTTTTTAAGTACTTCTTTATTTTCTGGCACAAGATGTTCCAGGTTCATCTTGTACTTTCTTGATGCAGCTCAAGGAGCTTCTATTGCTCTTTAGTCCTTTCAATATTCAATAATCACAGTGACTACATGCTATAGGCTAACGGGAAGTTACCAAAGTAATTCTACTCTATGAGGTTTAGCTCCACCTAAATGACTAGCCAAGTGACTAGAGATCATCCCAAGTCACAAGCTAACTTAAAGATTAATTTACAACCCTAGAATTCCCCCTAAAGAAGAAAAAGTGCAAAAGGATATTCATACAGTTTTGCTTATATTAGTAGATCATTAGAAAGAGCTCACATATCCAATGCTGGATGAATCCAACTGTTGCAGAGTACTACACCATAAAAGTACAGAGTCAATGAAGACAATGACACTGACATGGAAATATGACCAGGATGTATTCTTAAGTGGAGATCACAGATTATAAAAGAGAACATACAGGATTCCAGTTTCTTTTTAAAATGCCCAATGTTATATACATTATGATATCCCTATCCACATATAAATACAGATATGAAAGTATAGGGCTGGAGTTGTGGCGCAGTGGTAGAGCGCTCGCCTAGCACGTGCAAGGCCCTGGGCTCGATCCTCAGCACCACATAAAAATAAACAAACAAAATAAAGGTATTATGTAAAACTAAAAAAAATAAATATTAAAAAAAAGATGAAAGAATAGAAGAATCTACACCAAAATATTACTAGTGGTCATGTCCAGGTGGAAAAGTAAGGTGGTTTGGGATTTTCTTTATTCTTTTCTCTCTTTTCATTTTTATTAAGCATATGTTGCTTTAACAATCATGGAAATTTTAAATATCATACAGCTGGCCAGAGCCGTAAAGATTCTGAGCATCTGACTTACCCCATCAAAGGAGACAAGTAGGTTACTTCTCGGGACAAACACAGGTCTCTAGCTCTCAAATCAGACAACCCTGAGGACACTCAACTTATGGGATCAGTTACAACCCTGAGGGCCAGAGACTCATCAGACAGACAGACAGAGGGAAAAACTTTTTTCCTGACACAAGTTCTTCTTAATAAAGGAAATAGTATAAGTGATACATACACTATGAGGTAGGAAAAAACTTACTGCGGTGGACAATCTGGATGCCAGTGTCATTTCCAAGTTCCCTTTGAGACCGAGAAGGGCAGGAACTAAAATGAAAACTTCTGTTACGTTTTTGAACACCTCCCAGTGCTGCAAAAAATAAAAATAAGAAAATAATAAATAAATAAATAAAGATTTCTGACGTTATTTAAAAACCACTTAGAACAAAGACATTTCGAAAAATCCCCGTTCCCCCCGCCCCCCAACTTTGCACCGACATTCTGAAGTGCCACATTGGTCACCAAAACAGGGAACGTATAGCTTAGCCCTACCTGCTGTGCGTTGGGGCTTTAGAAGACTCAGGGGCAGTTGTGGTGACAGCTGACAGTCACTACCTCACATTCTACACTAGCATGCAACACACAATCCCAAAACTTGTGAATTTTTCATCACTTTATGACGGCAAGAGTTAGCATAACTAAGGTTAAAAGCACAGGCTCTAAAACCAGACCTTCTGAATTTGAACCTTGGTTCCAACACTAATTACAACAACCTCACAAGAAAATTACACTACTATCATTACCAAATTTCACAAATTAAGAAATAAAGATTCAGGGGCCGGGGTTGTGGCTCAGCGGTATGGCACTCGCCTAGCACATGAGAGGCACTGAGTTCGATCCTCAGCACCACACTAAAAGAAATAAATAAAATAAAAAGGTACTGTGATCAACTACAACTAAGAAAATACATTTTTTTAAAAAAAGAAATAAAATAACGTATGATTGGTGGCATATTCCTATCATTCCACCAGCTCAGAAGGCTGAGGCGGGAGGACTGCTAGTTCAAGGTCAGCCTCAGCAATTTAGCAAGGTCCTAAGCAACTTAGTGAGACCCTGTCTCAAAAATATAAAGGGCTAGGGATGAGGCTCAATGATGTGACTAAATGCCCCGGGGTTAAATCCCCAATACCAAAAAAATAATATAAAAAAGAAATGAAGATCCAGACGACACATTCAATGATTTTCCCAAGGTCAAAAGATGGGAACTGCAATTGACTTCAGGAGTTCTAAGCAGTCCTGTGTTCTGTCCCCCTATTTTAGGGTGTGAAGCCGAGAGGCTGGAGAATACAAGATCATAAACAGCACAAACCAGAATAATAAAATTTTAATAATATTATCAATGATAGTAAATAAAATTTGGGTTTTTAATTTTTTTGTAGTTGTAGATAGACAGAATGCCTTTATTTTATTCGTTTATTTTTATGCGGTGCTGAAGATCCAACCCAGTGCCTCATGCATGCTAGGCAAGCGCTCTGCAGCTGAGCCCCAGCCCCAGCCCCTAAAGTTTGTTTTTCTGGCCATGGATCTGTCACAACCTAGCTGCATGATCCTAGATGAGTCACATTATCTTTCTAATCTTAATTTTTCATTTATGAAATTAAGATAACATCCACCCTGTCTAGCCCTTGAAGAAATATTACCACAGTTAAATAAGAGATAAGAAAGTACTTACGCTAAACTGAAAAGACCATATAAATACTTTAATAACACAAAATGATATTTTACAAATGCTATTAAGATATGATTGCCCCAGTAGGAGACTTTATGGGCTAAGAATAGTAACCTCATGCCAAAAAGTATCAGGAACACACATCTTATCATTAATTCCAAGACAGGTGAGAAAATAAAATTTAAACCCATCAGATAAATGAAAGAAAAGTACAATTTGTTCCCAAAGTTTCCCTATAGGCTATTCCAAAAAGTTTATAACTGGGGAGCTAGGCGCAGTAGCACACACCTAAAATCCCAGCAACTCAGGAGGCTGAGGCAGGAGGATGCAAAGCCAGCCTCGATAATAAAGCAAGGCCCTGTCTCATAATAAAAAATAAAAAGGGCTTGGGAGGTGGCTCAGTGGTAAAGCACCTCTGCGTTCAAAAAATAATAATTAAAAAAGTATAACTGGGGCTTAAAGAGTTCAGAAATGTTTGTCAGATCAGTCTTCTATAAAATCCCAGTTAAAAGAGCCAACTACGGATATGGGGTGGGGCGGGGGCGGGGGGAGTGGGGGCAGGCCAGAGGTAAAGCACTTATCTGGCATATACAAGGCCCTGGGTTCGTCCCTAGCGCAAATGCACGCGCGCACACACATGCACACACACACAAAAAAAAAAAGAAAGCAAGCACTGGGATTCATTCCAGTGGCACCCTAAATCTCTAGTCTTAATAAAAACAGGAATCAGTGTTGTCCATATTTTCTAATGGGTTAAAATTCTCCTATGGAGACCTGGGGAGTTAGCTCAGTGGCAGAGTACTTGCCTAGTGAGGCCCTGGACTCCATCTCCAGAGCCTCACACACAAAAAAATTGAGTGTGCTAATAGAATAGCCTCCTTCCACGCCGGAATGATGGTGATGGGCATGACGATGTGAGTAACAGGTGACAACAGTGACACTAACAGCACGTGACATGCACTCACTGCTCCAGACCCTGTTCTTCAGACTCCCGCATTTCATCTCAACCACAGACCTAGGAGCCAGGTACTGCTTTTATCAAATCCCAGACATGATTCTAGAATACATTTTAGATCATTTTCTCACACCTACCTAGACAGAAACAATGGGCTGATGTCACACTTTGGGCCTGCTGAGATGTACCCCTTTGGGCTACTCTTTTCTAGTCCAATTCAAATCAGACATTTATAACCAAACAGAATTACTATGAAATCCCCAACGACTCGGCATTGGTGTGATAGAGTAAGAGGTGTGAATCACTGACTTCCTATCTTTGCCCCAAACATTCTTTTCTCTCCACCGCCAGGCCTGTGCTAGGAGAAGCTCCCAAACTTTCCTAGTCCTGGGACTCTCAGTATCTCAGAAAGGTGTTCATGGCATCTCTAGGACAAAAGAAATATGTAGAAGTCCTATTATTAAGTAGTTGTCTCTAAATAATAAGTATTTTTGCCCCAAAATTTGGTAGTCATTAGTTTCTGAAGGTATCCTTCAGAAACTAAAAAGAAAGTCTTTCCAAGACCAGAAAAATTCAGAAAATTCATCCCCACAGCTGACTTTGGCAGAAGTATGTGAAGGAGTCCCAAGCTAGACACAAAAGGATGGGACCCCTGAAGACACCAGGCGGAAGCACAAAGCGCACTTGAGCAGACACGGAAGGGAGGAAGAGGAGGACCTACCAACATTGAAAGAGACAATACAGTAAAAAAAAAAAAAAAAAACCCATAATGGCATTTTATATAATCATGATTATTTACTAATAGAATAATGTGTGCCTGTTGGGCACTGTGTAACCTGTCAGGTCTTGGAACTGGACATTATCATCTCTGTTTCTTATTTTATATTGGTTTTCTGTGACACATTTTTTGGAGGGGCATCAGTACTGGAATTGAACCTAGGGCCTTGTGCATGCTAGGCAAGCACTCTAACACTCAGCTACATCTCCAGCCCTTTTCAATTTTTTTTTGAAGCAGGGTCTTACTAAATGGTCAAAACTGACCTCCAACTTGTGCTCCTCCTGCCTCGGCCTCCTGAGTAGCTGGGATTACAGGTGGGTGCCACCTCTTACCACAGACACTTTCTCTTTGATCACAGCACTGATTAAAAACCCTCTTTTGCAAAGATACATCATCAAAGGAATAGTGTGATCTAATGTTGAAACCTTGGAACTACCTGGAGCTAGTAGGCTGTAGAGTGTCCAAGAGATGTCACTGAATCTCCCTTAAAACTTAAGCCATCCCATGGCACACCTGGGCCTCATTACACACCCTTTGGGAAATAGAGATAGTGAGGGGCAGCAGAGTCCACAGAACAAAGCAGGGGCTCTGCAGTCAATCACCAGGCTGAGCCCACTCCACGCCTCACCGTGGCATCTGGGGAAATGGCTTTACTCTCTTCATCTCAAATGGGGACTTGATGGTGTAGGACCACATGTCACTGCACACAGTAACAAACTGTTTATTAGCTATTAACACCCTGATGCATTATCAGTTAATTTTCCTGAAAGGAAAAAAAACACCAATGAAGAAAGAATACTATAGCCAGCAAAGGTAACCTTCAGAAACTAAAAAGAAAGTCTTTCCAAGACCAGAAAAAGTCAGAAAATCCATCCCCACGGCTGAGTTTAGCAGAAGTGCGTGAGGGAGTCCCAAGCTAGACGCAAAAGGAAGGGACCCCTCAAGACACCAGGCAGAAGCACAAAGCGCGCTACAGCAGACACGGAAGGGAGGAAGAGGAGGACCGACCAACACCGAAAACCAGGCCTCAAAGATGAGCAAGAAGAAAGGAACACGGGTAGACACAGGGACAACCTGCAAAAACTTGCATCAAACGACAAGAGCATGTCATTTTTTTTTTTTGAAGCAGGGTCTTACTAAAAAGCCTGGAGACTTTTAAAAACCCAAGTTATAGTTGGGTGTAGTATGTTGCACCTGTCCCAGCAACCAGGCAGGCTGGGGCAGGAGGATCAACTGAGCCAGGAGCTGAAAACCAGCCTTGCAGATAAACTTCCCACAGAGAGAGTTCCAGGCCGAGAGGTCTTCATCAGGAATCATAGCAAACATGTAAATAAATAATGACAGTTACATAAACCCTTATAAAGAATAGAAAGGGAAAGAGTGTTTTCAAATCCATTTAAGGGACCAGCATTTTCTGCTGGCTATAAAGACCATTACAGGTTAATCTTACCCACAGATACACGTGCCAAAATCCTCAACAAAACATTAGCAAACTTGACCAGAGTTTTACAAAAGCAACATTAAGACTAGTTGTATTTATTCCAGAAATGTAGAGTTTAATAAATGTTATTTAACATTGATCCAAAGGAAAAAATATATATCAATAAAAAGAGAAAAAAGCATTTGATCAGTCAACATCCGTGCACAATTTTTTTAAAAAAGAAACATTAGTAAACTTAAAAAAGAGAGTCTTGCTGGGCATGGCGATGCATGCCTATAATCCCAGTGGCTCGGGAGCTGAGGTAGGAGAACTGCAAGTTCAAAGCCAACCTCAGAAACTTAGTGAGGTCCCAGGTAACTCAGTGAGACCCCGTCTCTGAAAAAAATACAAAGCGGGGTGGCCTGGGGACATGGCTTAGTGGGTGAATCCCCTGGATTCACTCCCCAGTACCAAAAAAAAAAAAAGTC